GTCCGAGCTTTAGCAGACGCTGTCAGAGCTCTCTGGACCTGAGCAAACCTGCACCCACTCGGCCCCCTTCGGCCCCATTAGCACGTCACCCTGAGCAAAGTAAGAGCATGTGAAAAACACACATGAACCATGAGGATGTTCTTCTCTGTTTGTGCTTGAGCATGTGTTTGTTTGTGCCTGCCAGACTAACATGAATTATAATTCTTAAAGTGATAGTTCACCCAAAAATGTACTCACTCTCGTGTTTTTCCAAACCTGTATATCTTACTTTCTTGCTTGGAACACAAAAGAGATACTTAGGAGGGAAAAAAGCTGCACTTATTTTCTTGCTAAATATCTCCTTAGAGGTATGGAACGATATAACAGATTTTTAATTTTGGGGTGAACTATCACTTTAATGCTAACTAATTCTATGGCACACTTTGGCTACTAATAATACTTTTTTTATGTTATATATTTATTTATTTGGCAAAATTTTTGGTTAAAAAAACAGGTTAGGCTAGGGTGTAGTGTGTGTTTGTTACAAAAAAATAAAATAAAGAAATAGAATGCAAATCATATGAATAGATGTATAGTTCTAAACTAACTTTAAATGGCATAAAACATAATATTCATGTGTCTGTTATTTAATCGATTAAATTGGATTTCAATTTTACATGTAGAACATCTATATATATATACACACACACACACTCTCTCTCTCTCTCTCTCTCTCTCTACTGGTCAAAAGTTGATGAGCATAAGAGACTTCTTTAAAAAACATTTCAAGTCTTACTGATCCCAAACTTTTGAACGGTAGTATATATAGATATATATATATAGATATATATATATATATATATAGAGATATATACAGTATATACAGTTGTGGTCAAAATTCTACATACACTTTGCAGTATCTTCAAAATGTTAATTATTTTACCAAAATAAGAGGGATCATACAAAATGCATGTTATTTTTTATTTAGTACTGACCTGAATAAGATATTTCACATAAAAGATGTTTACATATAGCCCACAAGAGAAAATAATAGTTACATTTATAAAAATGACCCTGTTCAAAAGTTTACATGTGCTTGGTTATTAATACAGTGTTGCTTCCTGGATGATCCACAGCTTTTTATGTTTTGTTTTGTGATAGTTGTTCATGAGTCTTGGGAAATCCTTCGGGTCCCACAAATTTTCCAGCAACTTTTGCATATTTCAACCCTTTCCAACAATGACTATGATTTTGAGATTCATCTTTTCACACTGAGGACAACTGAGGGATACGCAACTATTACAAAAGGTTCAAACAGTCATTGATGCTTCAGAAGAAAAAATGATACTGCAAAGTGTATGTAAAATGTTGACCACAGCTGTGTATTATCACTAGTTATTGTAATTTGAATTCTCTTAGGCATTCCAAGCGTAGCAAGATATTTCATTACATGTAAACTGTGTGTTGCTGAAAGCAGTTAATGTGTGTGATTTGATCATCAGTACTGATTACATGATGTTTAAGTTTTATGTGTATTCATCTTGTTTGTATTTAACTTCTAGTCCTGTGCTGTGGTTTATTTCGGTTACATGTGGGTCACATCACGTTCCAGGTTTATTGCAGCCGTCACTGGAGCGGGTGGCCGTCGAGGCCCTGCAGCTCTGCACGTTACTCCTGCCACCAGCCAGCCGCCGCAAACTACAGCTACTTCTGCGAATGATCTCGCGCATGAGCCAGAACGTGGACATGCCGAGGCTGCATGATGTCATTGGAACAAGGACAGTGGTCAGGAAGAGTCCAGTTTTTTTTAATCATCTCATTCACATTAAAGTGAATATAGTGTTTTCCCGTTCTTTCGTACACATTGCATATACATTTGCGTTTATGTGTGTGCAGTTGGTGCAGACGTTCTCTAGGTGTGTGTTGAGCTGTGAGGAGGTGGATGATCTGGACGAGCTCTTGGCTACAAGGCTGTTATCGTTTCTCATGGATCACCATCAGGAGGTCCTGGAGGTGCCTGTGTACCTGCGTAATGCTGTGGAAGATCACATCAGTTATCTCAAATCACTGGTGAGTCCTGACAAACCACATGGAAATTAAACTCACACTATATTTCTTAGAAAAACGTTTATTTAAATTTATATTTATTTTAATATTAACAATATATTAGCAGTGTTGTTTAAAATGCTAAATATATAGAACTATAATTAACTAAATTTCGATAAAGCTCATCCGCTCATCAAGGCTGCATTTGTTTAATCAAAAATACAGTTAAAAGGATAATATTGTGAAATTATTATTATAGTTTAAAATAACTGTTCTCTGTTTTAATATATTTTAAGTGTAATTTATTCCTGGAATGGCAAAGCTGAATTTTCAGCAGCTATTACTCCAGTCTTCAGTGTCACATGATCCTTCAGAAATCAGTCTAATATGTCTTATTATTATCAATGTTAAAAACAGTTGGTCTTGCCTAATATCTTTATGAAAATCTTGATCTATTTTTTTCCATGATTCTTTGATGAATAGAAAGTTAAAAAAGAACAGCATTTATTAGAAATAGGAATCTTTTGTAACATTATAAATCTTTTTACGGTCACGTTTGATCAAATTAATGCATCCTTGGTTAATAAAAGTGTTACTTTATTTACACAAAAAAAATCTGACCCCAAACTTTTGAACGGCAGTGTATATTTTAAATAATTTAAATTTAATGCAACCTGAGGATGAAGGAATTGACAGAACTTGAGTTAAAACAAAAGCATCTGTTGTCAGCAATTCTGTCTCATCCCTCAGTTTGTAAAACCAAAGATATTTTTGTTTGTATTGTAATGGATTTACAATAGATGTCTTCAGGGCCATTGTATTGGAGGAATTAAACATAGAACATGTTAAACTGTATTTAAACCAAATTAATCATGAGAAGAGATGCCTCTGTTTATTCATTTATTCATGCATTATATTTTGTTTATTCACCATTCATTTGCATGCGTTCTGGATCTCAGACCACATTCCGAGGCTCCGGTGTTGCCATGCCGACATACTCATTCTGCAGGCAGATCAGCACTCAGGAGTTTGAAGAGCAGAAACTCTCTGTGTCCCAGACTGCTCTTGCTGCCCTACTGGAGAGTCTCATAAAGGACAAGAGCATGTCTGTGAAAGAGAAGAAAAAGAAGCTAAAACTGGTATTTATTTACTGAACTTCTCATATCTCATAAACATCCTGCTGTTTCCACGGAAGGGATACAAAATAAGGCCTTAAACATTTTTATTACTTTATTTTCTAGCAGTAAATATTAAACACAAATTGAAATTTAGTGTTGATTCATTGTTTGTTTGTTAATTTTATGACGTCCTAACAGCAAATCGACTTTTTTTTTTTGTTCTTCTCTCAGTTTCAGAAGAAACATCCTGACATCTACTCGAGACGTTTTCCCACAACAGAGAGTGAAGCTCAGGTTTTTGCAGATAAACCAAAGATAAAACCGCCAATGCTGTTAAGCATCAAGAAAGCCAAAACCTTCAGTATTCGAAACTGAATACCTCTTAAAATGCTCATGTGTGAATGATATTTTGGGAGCCTGGTTGAGTTTAAAGACCTTTAGTTGATCTGTTGCAGTAAAAGGGCTGACATTGGAACGCATCAGTATAATCTGAACTGTACCTTTTGTTGAAGTGTTTTTTTTTTTTCTTGTTTCTTGTGGTATTTCTCTCTAGTGAAGTGACTTTTATTTGTTTCAATACAGATGTCTATTTTAATGTTATTTATTTAAGGTGTGTGATTTACTGTAAGTTATTGGGAGCTTTTAGATATTCAGTGTCATAGTAACTGCAAAAAAATCAGAGGACCCTCAGCAAATATTATGCAAATAGGCTTAACATGCTGTTTACATAGTCGTCTTGAAACAAAATGAAGATTTTATTTAGTCTTGTAACATTGTTTATGTTTCAGTTTTTAGTCCCTTATTTTTCTGTGATCACCTTTTTGTGTGTCATCTTCAGGTGTCTTCACTATTAAAGACAAATATATAGGTTTTATGTGTAATGTGGGAGTTTCCTGGCTACGAAGCTAGTATGGGTTAATTTGCACGTTTTTTCATCTCAAATGTGCTAACGTTGTCATTTCTTATGATGTACATATTTTCTTTCTAGTCATTATTGTCTATTCATTGCTTATGTTCTTTGTTTTATCATCTTGCACTCAGTCATTGTGCTGATTCAGTGGCTTGTATTTTAAGAATGAAAGACTAAACTTGGACAATGATTGATTTATGGTTTTACTGTATCGTTAATGAGCATAAGTGAGCCAAATCCATTACGTTTTATGTTTTTTATTACTTTATTGTATCACCATAAATACTTATACTGTTTCTGATCTATGCAATAAACATTTTTTTAAATAAGCATTTTTTGTTTGTTTGTGTGAAATGTGATTTTTTTTTTTTTTATTATTTTATTTTATTTTTTAATTCTGGAAGAATTGTCAGTATTTGAAATATATGAACGTTCATGCATATGTGCATGCCATTGTAGCCTCTGACTTGTGAGAAGTGCTGCTGTGTGCACCTTCATCAGTATTCACATCCAGTCTCCGTTTATGAATGATATGGTACTCTGACCCTGAAAAAAAATCATTTGTCATCCAGGGAAGTAAACAAAGAAAATGTGATTAATGAACTGCCTTTTCACATGCCACATTCCAATGTCTTTTGTTAAGACTATGCGCAATTGGCAACTTTTTGTATTGTTATATTGTGGACTCTTGTTATGGATGTTATTTATTTACATTTATTTCTTAATTTAAAAAAAAACATTCATAAAGCTTTCTGCAAATTGAGCCAGTTCACCACAGGTTCAAATGTGTTCTTCATTTGCTCTGTAGTGTCTTTCAGGAAAGTAAAAATGAGTGGAAATGTTCTTGGTATGAACACAAAGGGCTTTTTGTTTCAGAGCCGGAGGATGAGTTCTAAGACTCTGTGGCTGTTCCTGGGAACAGAACAGTTCTGGTTTACACACACAAGCATCATCTCACCTCAAACTCATTTCAACATGGTCAGCCGGTGAGTAATGGAACTTTTCAGTCTCAGTCGAACTGCTCAGATTGTACAAATGTTTTTTGGTAGGGGAAAACGTGTTTCATTTATTGTTAATTTTAAATATATTTCTTTTTAAAAGTGATGTTTCCTTAGTCATTTGTTTCTTTCAAGCTTATATTTTTATTCCCTTTGGGCAATGCATAATTTAGAAGAATGTGCAAAATGCCTCACGAATGAGTATGTTAGTATACGTTTAGTTGCCTCACGAATGAGTATGTTAGTATAAGTTTAGTTGTTTTCTTTTTCATTTTAGTTCATTATGTTAAAAATGTGGACATCTGTTTTCATTCAGTCTTGAACACCCAGCCGGTGGCTATAAAAAAATCTTTGAGTCATGTGAAGAGTTAGCTGAGCCCATTCCTGCTCATGTCTCAGGTTGTATGCCTATAATCTTATAAATCAAGCATTTTCAATTTGATAATTTTCCACATTTAATTTCTCCATGCTTTCATTGAAGGGAAAAGTGTATGCATCTTCTGCTGTGGCCGATGTAAATGCCTTGTAGCCTTTGATATGGGAGCTGTTTTATAGACATTTGGGGGCTGAAGAATTTGTTTGGTTAAAGTGAACCTTCTCTCTCTCTCTCTGCAGGCAATATCCCTGTCTGGCTCACTGGCAGTCTGCTCCGTATGGGCCCTGGGCTCTTTGAGATTGGAGATGAACCTTTTTACCACCTTTTTGATGGTCAGGCCCTCATGCACAAGTTTGACCTGAAGGATGGACATGTCACTTATTACCGCAGGTAAAACCCCTGTATTTTCATGTGTTTATCGTGCAGGAATACCCAAATATATAAATAAACTGCAACCCAAACTGAGTTTTGACCTAAATGTTTTGCAGTAATTTCCTGGAATGGAAATGGCTAGTGTTGGACTAGTGTTGGAAATTAGATTTGACTAAATCTAATGCATATTTACTGGCACCTTTTACTTTAGGTTTATCAGAACTGATGCTTATGTGAGAGCCATGACAGAGAAAAGGATTGTGATCACAGAGTTTGGCACCGCTGCATATCCAGATCCATGCAAAAACATCTTTTCCAGGTCTGGAGAGTATTTTCTGTTCAATTTCATTTGGGAGTAGAATAATAACGCCATGAAAACAAATTTACTCCTAATGGTGCATTTATTTTTGGAACTTCCTTTTTTTCACATCAGGTTTTTTACTTACTTTCAAGGCATTGAGGTGACGGACAACTGCCTTGTCAACATCTACCCTATTGGTGAGGACTTCTATGCCTGCACTGAAACCAACTACATAACCAAAGTTGATCCTGATACCCTAGAAACAATAAAAAAGGTAGGCTTTTGCACTGTTGCCCAATTTTGAGGCTATTAACAATAACATAAATCCTTTAAAGGAATAGTTCACCTAAAAATGAACATAAAGCCTCAGGCTTTACATTGCATTACATCAGTTGCTCGCCAGTGGATCCTCTGCAGTGAATGGCTGCCATCAAAATGAGAGTCTAAACAGCTGATAAAAACATCACAATAATCCATAAGTAATCTCCAGTCCATCAGATAACATAGTCCTGTTGATTACTTATAGATTATTTTCTTTTTATCAGCTATTTGTACTCTCATTCTGATGGCAAAGGATGTAATGCATGAGATGTAAATTTTCTCCAAATCTGTTCCGATGAAGAAACAAACTTATCTGCATCTTGGATGGCCACAGTTTTGAGCAAATTCTCATTTTTGGATGAACTATTCCTTTAACATCTCTATTTTCCCATAGGTGGACCTCTGCAATTATCTCTCAGTAAACGGTGTGACTGCACATCCACATACTGAACCAGACGGTACTGTATATAACATTGGGAACTGCTTTGGGAAGAACATGTCATTGGCCTACAACATTGTCAAGATCCCTCCACCACAAGAAGGTTGGTATATTGCTTTGTTTGCATAAAAGGATCTTATTAATGCATTCCGAGGAGGTGTTTAACTTTCTATTATCATTTGTTTCATCAGATAAATCTGATCCAATTGAGAAGTCAAAGGTTTTGGTGCAGTTTCCAAGCAGTGAGAGATTCAAACCATCCTACATCCATAGGTTAGTAATATAATGTAATATAACAACAATCTGTTCTTCATAATTAAAATAAATATTAATATAATAATATATATTTCACAGCTTTGGCATGACAGAGAACTACTTTGTGTTTGTTGAGACTCCTGTGAAGATCAATCTACTGAAATTTCTGACTTCCTGGAGTATCAGAGGGACAAATTATATGGACTGCTTTGAGTCCAATGACAAAATGGGTGTAAGTCAGAGCTTACTGGCATTATATCATGTTCCTAAGGTTAATTATATGCTTTAAAAAAAAATTTGTACGTTAACTGATCCTCTTCATTTGGCTGCATTCCCAGACATGGTTTCATCTGGCAACCAAGAATCCTGGAGAAAACATAGACCACAAATTCAGAACATCTGCTTTTAATCTTTTCCATCACATTAACTGTTATGAGGACCAAGGCTTTATTGTGGTTGACCTGTGCACTTGGAAGGGGTAAGACTTTTTTTTATTGAAGCTTTAGCTAATAGATCACTGAAACAAAAAACACTCTGCACATGAATTTGATAATGGCTGAAAATTTAGACTATAGTGATCATCTGTGGCCCCCTTTCTTTGATTGACAGGCATGATTTTGTGTATAATTACCTATATTTGGCAAACGTGAGGCAAAACTGGGAGGAAGTCAAAAAAGCAGCCATAAGAGCTCCACAGCCAGAGGTGCGGAGATACGTGCTTCCACTGGACATCCACAGGGTAAGAGTTATCATGATACTATTTCACCTCAGGAACAATTAGATTGAATTCAGTTTGTTTCTTGATCGCTTTGTCTCTGTCTTTCCAATGCAAAAGTTCATTCCTTTGTTCAACAGTCTGTTAGTTCGTTCCTTTGTTGTTTTTGCAGGAAGAGCAGGGAAAGAATTTAGTTTCGCTTCCATACACCACAGCCACAGCTGTCATGTGCAGTGATGGAACCGTTTGGCTTGAACCTGAAGTTCTTTTCTCTGGACCGCATCAAGATAAATATTCAGCACCTTCCTTATTTGGAATTTGTCATAAATACAACAGAGTTATTATAGTTTTTATAATTTTTTTTTTTTTTTTAATTACTATTGCATTGATATCCAGTACTTAAAATTTAATGTATCAAAAGTTTTTCTTCTTCGGGGTTCTGTTTGTGTTTCAGCTTTTGAGTTTCCTCAGATTAACTACAAAAAATACTGTGGGAAAAATTACACCTTCGCTTACGGACTTGGGCTAAACCACTTTGTTCCAGACCGGGTGGGTGTGACGTGATACTGAAAACATTCTTCATGTTCAACATTTGCTCCGTGTTTGTGATTTGTGTTCTTTTTGTGGGGTTTTAGATTTGCAAGTTGAATGTGAAAAGCAAAGAAACGTGGATATGGCAGGAGCCAGATGCCTATCCATCCGAACCACTGTTTGTGCAAAGCCCTGATGCTAAAGACGAAGATGATGGTATTACATATCTTTTACTAAACAAAATATATATTTCTGATCTGTTTATTCTCGATATAAATGTCTTCTTTCTGCTTTTCTTAGGTGTTCTTCTGAGTATTGTAGTGAAACCAGGAGTCACCCAGAGGCCAGCGTTCCTCCTCATACTCAATGCCACTGACCTGACAGAAATAGCACGTGCAGAGGTTGATGTCATGATTCCTGTCACTCTTCATGGCCTGTACAAACCTTAGAGGATCAGAATCATGACGTTGCATTTCAGTAAACAGACAATACTTTCACTTTTCAATTTGACATTTTTTATAATACATGTAAAATCCTTTAATGTTATTGTTGCTCATTTAAATGGGCCAGTTATATGACCTGATATGCTTGTAATGCAACAGCTTTTTGATAACGTGTACTATAGAAAATACTTTTTTTTTTTAATAAACTTTTTACTTCAGCATAAAGGAAAAATGATTTATTGACAAGTAAAATTCCATATGTACAAATTTGTTTGTTACATCAGTGAGAAAATCACAATGATAAGGCACTGCTATTGATTACAGCCACAGTGTCATTAAAATATAAAGATATGTGTTCGTTTATTACTTTAATAAAACACCTTATACGAGTTTATAAAATTCACTGAGGTTTCTGCAGAGGTAGTGTTACAGTCGGAGAAAAGGCGTCCTCATTTTCTCTCTGGACAATTGATAGTCTTGTTGTTTAATGATTTTCAGACACTTGCTCAAAACCTAACAAAAGGGAACAGAAGCATATGTTTTATAAAGCTTTGTTATTTCAAGAGTGCAATCCATATTTTGAAGAAAGTCCATAAATTGTGAAAAAAAGTGAATGTTTTAAGATAATAATGAAAAAGCTATTTGGGCAGTTAAACCACACTTAAAAATATATTCATGCAATTGCATTAGATAACAAAATATCAATACAAGTGGAATTTATTTGAAAGAAATATTCCAGGTTATTATAAAGAGGTTTTAACTAAGAGCACTAGTTAATTCTAGTTAATATCACTTAGGTTTACTTTAATGATGCCATTAAAACCCTCAACAGTTGCTTTTCATTATGGCCTTTCAGTGAAAAGTCTAGCGCTCTGTGCTTTTTTGTCTATAATTTGTAAAGTATTAGGTATCATGATGAATTACCTAATTTTTAAGAGAAAATTAAAAGGGAAAATTAAACCAACATTCATATTTGTATAGCAAATGTACAAATAGAAGATTAATCATTGAACCACATAGAAAAAAGGATAAAAAATTGCTAGCTCTTTTACCTTTCTGGTGTCTTGAGGTCGAATAACACCATCATCCCACAGTCTGCCAGAGGAAAAGAATGCTGAACTCTCTTCCTCCAACCTTCACAAGGTCAACATTTAAAAAAAAAAAAAGTAATATATTTTAATTTATTTATATTTATGTATTTATTTTATGCATTTTTAATACACCTTTAAAACAGCCAGTTATGGACCTTAAACTAATCTGTCAATAATACATTTGACATCCTGTTACATTGGCTCTTACATCTCATTAATCTGTGTGATTTCCTCTTCAGTCTTAAGCACAAATGCATCTGAGTGGCCTGGGGCCAAAATCGACACTCTTGCATTGGGCCACAGGAACAGGAAATTAGGGTCAAAAGCCCTTCCACACTAAAAAAGTGTTCAGAAAGATTTTAAATTTTTAACTGTTCAGTTTTTTGTTTGTTTTTTAGATTTATAAATTCTGTCTGTGAGTGTTGGACTCTGCCTAAGGAGGATGGGAAAGAGAACAAGAGGTTTAGACGAATGAAGTGAAAAAAAGAGGAAAGAGAGCAAGTAACAAAGTAAAACAAGATGCCGTGTGAGCAGGGCCAGATATCATTCCATTAAAAAAAACACTTCTTTGTACCAAAGTGGAAACTACTACAGTTTTCTGTGTATCACATGCATATTTAAATTAAATTACAAGTAATTTGACTTCCTTTTTACAGAATCTTTGTAACTGATGGAAAGTCAGCATATAAATGTCTTCCGATGTACCTTGGCTTGTGAGATTGTGTGTGCAGGTTCTGGTGCTGTGTTTTGCATGAAGATGAGGGGAATGTCTCTCTGGTCACACAGCTGAACAATATGACTGCCTTTCAGGGAAGCTTCATGTGTCAGCTCTCCATTATTTGCCACGATTCCAATCTGATGACTAAAGATTGATGGGGAAAATTAAATCAGCTTTCAACGTAACCATAGTAAAGAAACAGGAAAACATAACTGAGGTTTGTCCATGCAAAACCCAAAACGTGACTGACAATCAGTGAAGCAAAGCAGGATGTTTTGGTCTGTCTGTTAACCATCACATGTTCATCATTATTTATCTATTAATAACATGCTTGTGGACATACAGGAAACCACTGCTCTGGAGAACAAGATATAAGAAAATGCAACCAAAGTAGGAAACAGCATACTCTGAGTGCAGCCTGGCTCCTCCCAGGTCCTCTGGAGAAACCTCCTCTCCGGTTGCAGCTTTCACCAGCGGTGGGCCTCCCAAAAATATTGTTCCTATCCTGTGGACAATCACCGCCTCCTCAGACATAGTGGGGACATAAGCTCCAACAGCTGTGCATGACCCACACACTACTGCCACCTAGAGGTAATGACATTACATCGCATCAGATCAGACATTTACCATTACACTCAAATAAAAGAATAACACAATAATAATAATAATTCACCAGGAATGGATATTTGTTTTTTAATAAGAATATTTTGCATTAATCTTTTAATACCTGGGGAATCTTCATTGCTGACATAACTGCTTCATTGTAAAAGGTGCGTCCTCCATGGTTTCTTTCAGGAAAGATCTCTGACTGTTGATACAGCAGTTGCACAGCCATTAATGCACCATTAAGAGATAACAGAGATCACCATGGCAACAGATGCAAGTTACCTGAAGAGGCAGAAATGCGCCACCACTGTCCACCAAGTAAACAGAGGGCAAGCGATTCTGCATGGCCACAACCTGCGCCCTGAGCTTGCTTTTTAACTGTGATGGGATACGTTGTACCTCCTTTCACAGTGGCATCATTAGCAATGAACATGCACCAAAGTCCATTCATTTGACCGCTTCCTATGGAAAAATAAATAGAACTGTTACTAAGGAAGAGGAATTCCTATGCACAAATATTTTAATATCAATTAATATCTAATAATTATGTCTAATAATATTAAGTCTAATGAATCCAAATAATAAATAAAGTCTAACTAATATTATGTCTAATAATAAAAGCCAAGCAATAAATAAACAACCCTCACACACTTTAATAGTTTCAGGCTGGTGCACTAAAAGGAGAAAAATGCCATATTTATTTATTATTTAATGATTGGTAACAATACTGCAACCTTAATTTAAATGACAAAATTTAAAATCCTCACAAAGAAGCATGACTGAAATTCAGATTTTGACCTTTGTAATGCCTAGCAAAATGTTGTTTTTATTCATTTATTTTTTTATTAACCATAATTCATATATGATAATATTTTTCACTGTATTATGTAGTATATTACCTGTGAGACAGCCTGCTGATGGGATGTCTCCATAGGGCAGACCAAGTCCAGCAAAAGGAGAAAGTTCTAAATAATCTTCATCATCCAGCAGCATGCGGAGTCTGTCTCGTACAAGGACCTTTCGATTCCTCTGCGTTTGACGTGCTATGACATTTTCACCACCCCCCCTTCATTACTTTTTCCTTGTGCTCAAGGTATCTGTTGAAACAAGACAATATTATACAGGGTGGATATTACTTATGTGATGAATTTTATGATAAGGGAAATATTGCAATGTAAAAGTGGAGATCTTTAAAGCATATGAATCAGACTTACTTTTGCTGGTAGATTAGGCAGTTCCTGATATTGGCTTCATACACATGTCTGTGAGCTGGATGAAATTCTCCATCTATAACTGGAAAGGCACTTGGCAGGCATCTCCTGCGCACAGTGGAGCTCATACAGCGGGACGACGCTGCTGGCTGATGTGTCCTATGTGTCAAGGCTCGCCACAGACCGCCTGAAACAGGCGAATGTGTGCAATGGTATGCAGTGCAGCTGAAAAGATTGGATGATGTGTCCCATGACAGTGGATTTTGAGAGAATGATGCTCTAGTGAGTTCTATGAGTTTATTCCCTTTTATATGGGAAGACCTGGTGAAATAAGAGACATGCATTTTATTTGTAATAACTCCAGGAATTACACACTGGGCTTGGGAATTCCATTCAAAACACCAGCTTTAATATTAATAATAATACTAATAATAATAATAATTATTATTATATTAATAATATTCAATAATTTAGATAGATAGATAGATAGATAGATAGATAGATAGATTATTAGTTGTAAATTATTAGTTATTGTTATTCTTTAAATTACGAATAATCACATAATTTAGATAGATAGATAGATAGATAGATAGATAGATAGATAGATAGATTATTAGTTGTAAATTATTAGTTATTATTGTTATTCGTTAAATTACGAATAATCACGTTTGTGATGACTGGGATCTAAATGAATAACGTTAAAGAATACACCTTTCACTTGTTTTTGACTGACACTGACACAATAAAGATGCTATTTGTCACAGTAGAGATCGTCATTAAAGTTTTGTGCACATACACGCACGCTAGCTCTGGCAGCAACGGACAAGAAATATGAAGGGACAGGTGTCAGTGTTGAGCTGTAATATTATAGACTACAATCAATACGAAATAGGCTACTCAAGACCTTGTAAAAAATATTCTATAAATACATATTGTTTTAATAATGCATAATACATTATTAATAATAGGCCTAATAATAATACTAAAACAAAGCACCTTGCACTTGCATTGGTCTTTCTATTATGTCTAGTTTATATTATTCGTCTACTTCTTTATGCTGCATGCGCCTGTATTTTTAAGTGTGTCAAAGGTCGTTAGAAGCTCACTGGGATAGTCAACGCGAAGAACTTTCCAAAACGGCGGAAACACCTTAGTTTACCTTAATATAGCAAAAGGCCTTACCTCAACATGCAACAGTAGCTACATTATGAGGCGAGAGGCAGGGGTCTAAAATGATTTTTTTTTAAAGTGTAACGAGAAACTAAAGTCTGGAAGGAAACAAGCAGAAAGGATTTGAGTTTGAGTTTGCGATATCGTGTATATTAAATATTGATATAATGACCACTAGAGAGCAGTATAGATCAGTAAATCAGTGGGAGCATAAGCCATTATGACCCAAAGCAGTACGAGACATTATTCTATTCTATTCCACAAGGCGGGGTTATTGTAGTAAAAATGAAAGAACTAAACATTAAAACATTCAGCATTACTTGAAATAAAATACACGTTAACGGAAATAAACTAAAAAAAACGCTTCTTTTATTTCAGATAGTTGTTATTGCAACTTGATGTACTAAAATAACTAAAACTTAAAAAAAATAAAAAAAACATCTAGACACATTTTAAAAACGAATAAAAATGACAAAAAACACAACACAACAACTAAAACTTTACATGAAAATGGAAAATAGAGCAAGCTAGTGTTAGAGGCCTTTTTTTATTTTGTTAATTGTATAATAAATAGAAAGAAAACACATAGATAGAATGC